CCCCAAAACCCCAAAACCCCAAAACCCCAAAACCCCTGAAGATCAGAGCAGATTGAATTTTAGTAATTTAAAAATTTGTTCAAGTCAAATTTGGAGTCATACCATTTTGGAGTGAGCAAGGACTCCAGCCTGATTCTTCTGTACATAGGGAATTTTAGGTAATTTAGATCGTTGAGATTTATTTCAGTGTCTTCTGTGAGATTTAAAAAATTAATTTTTTCAAACGGCTTTGAGTCCATAAAGGAGTTTCGTTTTAGCTTTTTAAGACTTGATCTAGATTTAGACTAGAGGATATCATGGAAGATGTTACTTTTAGCTTTTTGGGTGAGAATAGGCGGGTTTTGGAAATGCTGTTTCTTTCTGGGACTGTAGAGATGTCATAGGGTTTTTAAAATGCAAATTTTGATAAGTTTGAAGTGAATTAGATGGTAATTACTTTTAGAAAAATTTGTTGAGGTGTTGGTAGTGAAGCGGAGAAGACCATGTTTTTTAGTCTTAGATTTTGGACTTTTAATGACTGTTTTCAGTCTGCAAAATTTAGCACAAAGAATACTTTTGAGGTAATACTTTTCCCAAGTTTGTATTGCCTAAAATTTACTTAGAATCTCTACTATTTCTCAACAAAAGAAGTCAACTTAATGACAGGTCTAGACATTTTTGGACTATCCTCCTTAATGCGTGAGTTATTTAACTTTAGTCTGACTTGATAGGATTTGTCAAATATTCTGAACTCTTTAGAATAATAATATACCTTAAGTTATCGTATGATTTAGTGATCTCTCTGTTCTTTAAGCTCTCTCTGAAACTTCTGTACCTCATCGCATTCTCATTCGTTTTATCTGCAAGGTTATACTTGAGGTTTACTTTTGAAGCTTCGTACGTGTCTCTTTCGATAATTTACAGATTGTTTTGATTCTTGTGGTATTATCTATAATCCATCTTCAGAAATTTTCCACATCTGGATCTGCGCCTGCTTCTACTAAATCTACTCTCAACGCTAGAAAAGCTTCAAGCCGTAATTTATTAGAAATTGGCAATATGAAACCTGATTCTGAAGTTTGTTTTGAAGTTGAAAATAACTTTCCCAGAAGTTTATCTACCAGTCACAACCTCAAGCACCTACAGACATCCTCTCTGGTCACTAAACCAAGTATGAAGCCAACCTTACCTTCCTTCAGAATTTTGTGGATCTTCTTAAAATACAATATAACTTTTTCAAGCAGTAAATCGAACTTCTTAGCCTCATTGTGCTTATTTCAAGAAAATTTCCAGATCAGCCCCAGCAGGAATAGGGGATAATATCTATTGGGAGAAATTAGGTGGGGTTGGGAATAAGAGTTCAGGCAGAATGATGGGATAAAAAGTACCTCTTGTGTGCTCATAGTAGTATCTAGTCTATAGATAGGGTCAAAGAGGGACTTACACATTCGCATTGAATAAATTGTTCCTCCTTTGTCGTGAAGCAGATGATTTCATATTAACTAAATTTGAAATTTTTTGAAAATTTGAATAATTTAAGCCTACCTTGGTCCCCTAGTTTCGTGTTTATATAAGGAACTTGGGATCCTCTGCTGCTTCTCCTGGTGTGGTTGGTCTTTATAAATATTAGCATCATCAATAAGTCTCGATTTGAATAACTAACTGGCTTTAGTGGCTACTTACATGTCTTGATAATCTCCTTGTAATCATATTTTAGATTTTGCAGTTAAATAATAAAATCTAAATATATAAAATGCAGTTTTAAGAAAGTTTCAAGGGGTTTTGGGGTTTTGGGGTTTTGGGGTTTTGGGG